TTTGAATTTTTTTTTTTTTTGGAAAAATTTTAAGCTATACATAACAGTGCTCAAATTCAGCTTAATTTAAATTAGTCCGAGTGTCCGCTTTGTTGAAATTATTTTTCTTGTTAAATATTGCTTTTAAAATGAAATTATTTAAATTTTATAAATTTTAATTTCAAACACAAAATACATATTTTATTTTCTTATTTTTTTTAATTTATGTTTTTAGTTATTTTTAAGCTATTATTTAGAAGAACGATTTTTTTTCTTTGACCAAATAAATTTTAATATTATTATTTATTATTATAGCACCCAAAGTATATTCAAATCCCAAAATAATTCTAAACAAAAAGAAATTTTTTTTGTATATATAATTCACAACAATATTTGCATATGTATATATATGTATGTACACACATATATATTTTTATTTTTAAAAAATATTAATAAGAAAACTGAATTCAATCATAATTTTTTTTTTTTGCTGTTTAGATCGCATCAGGAAAATAATATAATATAAACACACAAATATATATATATAGATTTTCATATGCATACCAATATATATTTAAATATAAACATACATACATATGTATAAGTATAAAATGAAAATTTTGTGTTCCTTTTATTTATCCGCTCTCATTCTTTACATTTTCCCATAATTTCTCCCATTTCATAATTCTCTAGATAATACTCATAGTATTATAATATTTGTATGCATATATATCAACATACAAATTTCAATATATATTATATTAAATATATAAATAATATATATATATGCATATAAATATAATACATATATGAATACATAAACAGACATACAATAATATATATATATACTTCATAAATGTATGTATGTGACATTGAAGTTGGTGGGATAAACTTGGATAGAAATGTTGGCTTTTTTTTTTATATTTTGTTTTGATATTCCCATGGGATCTCATCTTGGGGTGAAAATGTTAACGAAAATTTATAAAAGTAATATAAGGAGAAAAGAAAATAATATAGAAAAACAAAAAATAGGAAAAAATAAAATGAAAAGCACTTTTTCCCCATTGCTATTTATACACTAGTATTATTTTTATAAATAATATTGTACGTATGTATATTAAGTATATGTATATATGCAAATATATTATCAAAAAAAAAAAATAAATGTATATTATCATATAGTGCGGATGTATTGAACACTAAAATGAAAATTAGAATATTTTTGCGAAATAAAAATTTTATTAAGCAATTCGAAAAATAAACTTTTATAAATCTTGTGATGTTTTCAAATCTACTTCAGTATTTATTTTTATTCTGCTAACTTAGAAATTAAATATTTTTTTTTTTTTTACAAAAGTAAATGTGAAAGACTATCGATTACATGGTTTTCAGAAAATAAATAAAAACAAACTACATAAAGAATTAAAAAATATTAACGCTGACTCTTACGATATTTTTATTTACTATTGAAATCAGACAAACAAAATAAAGATCATACAAATTATTTGTATATAATTTTTACATTTTGTGATAGGTGATAAAAATTTTATGTACCCAGCTTTTTCCTTTATCCATTCCAAATAATTTTGTTAAAAATTAAAAAATTGCATAATTTTGGGGGTGTATTTAAAATTTTCGGCTCAGTTGTAAAAACTTTAAAAATATGTGTTCCAAATACTTCCCCCCTTCCACTCTTATACGAAAAAATCACACAAGTTCCCATAAATTTCATGTTACTATTGCAATAATTTAATTGAATAATATACAGCACACTTCCTAGACTGTAGATATACCACCAACTCAACTCATTTTAAAAAAACTTTACAGTTCAAAATGTACTTTTTTTTTAATATTTAAAATAAGTTCTGATTTATCAGATATTTTAAAATTCTGATTAATATTCGGATTTATCAGCTCTAAGATTCATTATTAATAAAAGATTTATGAAAAAAAAAAATTATATTTTAAATTCGAATTTTTGTCTGAAATTACTATACAATAAAGTTTTTTTATTAGTTTTAGTAAATTCAATGAATTTAGTTTTAAGTTTATACGTAATATACAAAAATGTATATTTTTATATATTATGTATGTAAGTATGTATATATAAATATGAAATTTTTCATACATACAATTACATGTATATATAATTTAAAATCTTTTTACATACTCACAAAGGACACGAGTAGTTTTTACATTGGAAATTTATGATTTACATTTGAGAATTTTCATCTCTAGAGATTAAAAAAATTAAAAATTTCAGAATTAAAAAAAAGTCATCTACATCTTAATTTTTCTTATAATAATAATGGAATACTGTTTTGGAAAGAAAGTATAAAACAAATTAATTGAATTTAAAAGAATAACAAGTAACAAGAGATAAAAAAGAGCAAGTAGAATTTAAAAATATTTTAATATCGCTAATTTATTTAAGTCTTTTTAAGTATATTAAAACTGGTATATTGATTTAGAAAAATTTTGTATAAAACACATTCATGTGTTTGATTTTAATTTGAGGGTTATTATACCCGTACGAACGTATGTTCGAAGGATATACTACCGTATGTAACGCTAAGAAATAACGGTCTTAGATATAGACTCATGTGTATGTTTTTGATCAGCGTCGAATTCTGAGTTGATTTAGCTTTTTCTGTCCGTCCGTTCCAACGATAACTAAAAGACTCGCATATAATTGCTCGTACTCACATTATGCATCTATTACTGAGGGAAACGTTACACTACTTCACGCAGACATAATTTAGTAATACATTAAAATAGATATTTTCCACCTATATTCCTATATTTTTATTTCCTATATTAAAAATTCTAATATAACAAATAGCATTAATCAAAAAATTTGGTTTATAATATAGAGAAATTCGCTAAATCGAAAATTTAATTATAAATTATAAATTTGCTGACGTCATAAAAATTGTTCATTAAAGAATTTCATTGTATGAGTGGTTTGTTATATGGAAGTTCTACTGTATTTTTACTTAATTATTTGATAATTAACACATTTAAATATTTTATGTTACTCAACATATTTATTGCCACCAAACATATTTATTGCAAAAATAAATTATTAATATTATTAAATTAATATATTAATACCTCGAATAATACAACATAACATAATTACCATTGATATACATACTTACGAAGGTAAAATATTGATTTAAAAATATTCAATAACGCATTCATATTGAAAACGGTATAATTTACCTTAACGTATTAATAACAGTATAAAAGAAAAATTCAGACAATAAATTTTTGTTATACGCACATATTCCTAAATAATTTAGAAAATATAACAAGAATATTATGTGTTCTTATAACGTAATCCAAAGTACGTTCACATGATAATCCGTTTTATAGCCTTAATATATGCAATTTTGATGCGACATCTTAATTTTCATATCATTTTCATAATAAATTTAGACTTAGCATTAATTTTCATTTTAAAACTTTTAAAATAAGACTCTTTATATAAGAAGTATATATTTTAAAAGTTAAACTATTTTATTTATGTTATTGTTTTATAAATTTATTTACACTATTAAATAACTCACATTATAACACATTAACATGTGTAGTACCTTAAATCAAATTAATGGTTAAATTTTCACATTTCATTTTACAATTGGTACTCAACCCTTCCGTAAACTGTTATAAAGATTTATATAATGTATATGCATATAAAATAAATTATAATAATGATATACTTGCATTTATTTGTTTAAGTATAAATTTAAGTTCGTTCGTATAGTCATTTATTTTGCCAACCCTTTCTTCAAAAATCGTATACTAATTTTAAAATATATCGAATAATATCATTTATAAGGGCTTTTTATTAAAAAAAAAATTTTTGATATTTTTTCAAAAGTTACATGCATACTCTGGATGTACTTTTAAATAAATCTAATTTCGTTACGATATTAATGGCCATATTAAATTAATTTCCAATATTTATGACTTTTTTATAATATAAATATGCAAAGGATATAATATAACAATAAAATTTGTAAACTACACAATTTTCAATTACAAAAAATCGCCATTCTATATATAGAATTGCAAACATAAATTTTAGATTTAAAATGAAAATTTGAAATTTTTATTACATTTATTATTTGTATACCCTGTACGAGCTTTTACTCACTTGAGATTTAAGGAATAAATAAATATTTAAATAATTTTTTTGATTAATAAAAAATTTATAATATTATCTATAAGTTACTAAATATTGTATAGCTTGCAATTTCTAGAAATTTCATAACAATTACAATCGGTTTACTCCGTTAAAACAGAAAATTTTTAATATTCTATCATCTTTCAATATTAGCAATATTTGAATTTTTCACCTTCCATTTCTTTGAAACAGATATAAGCCTTATCAAATTTCTATTAAAGCAGAGAGTATTGATATAAATTTTGTCTTATTCAATAAAAATAAATAGAATATTATTACAACCCTATAATTATATTATATCATTTCACACAGATTTTGCTCCTAGAAATGTGCAATAAATGAATTTCAAACTCGAAAAATTTAAAATGATAACTTTTCACTTAAAATTTTCTTATATTCCTAGCAACTTCTTGAATCAGATAAAGGGAGAATATTTACCATTTTAGCGTCTGTAAATTTTAAACACAAAGACATACCTTTACATACAAATATACCTTATACGCTTATAATTATACCGGCACATTGTGGTAACCCTCGTTTCTTAATTATTTTAAACCATTAAGTTAAAGAAAATCACAACAATAACAATTTACTTTAAAAAACTGACATTTAGTTGACACTAATACCCGTTATTTTTCTTACCGTTATACTCTTTTGTTTTTCTTTCAATTTATTCTTTTTTTTTTTAATGTACTTTTGAACAGATTATTTTCATTATGTTTTTTTTTCTTATATATTTGTTTTTTTTTCATTGTTTCGTTTTCTTGTTATAATTTTTTTCTTATTCTTTTACATTTATTCTTTTCTTTTTCCTTTATATTTGATATAGATGCATGCTCTGTACATACATCATCACCAAGTTTTTCACCATCAATATCAGAAGGAGCAGCTACACCTAATTCAACATTAAGTCACCGTCATCATAAATATTTTTCAAGTGGTGGGAATTTTTTACATCATCAACCACCATTTCCATTTTTTTCATTATCAGATGAAGAAGCAACTGAACGTGAAATTGGTGATATTGAAGAAACTGAACGAAGTTATAGTTTACCACCATCATTTCTTTCAACAACAAATAAACGAGTTAATCGTAGACATCGACATCTTAATATTGTTAATAATAACAATAATAATCATAATTATAATTATTATCATTTACGTCGTCCAATTAATCATGATCTAATGGATGATAATTTTAATGGTGCAAGTAATAATTTTGATAGAGAAATACGTAACTATAATAATAACAATAATATTAATAATTTAGATACTATTAAAAATCGAAATGATAATAATTTAATTGAAAAGAAATATAGAAAAATTAATGATGATAATAATGATGAAATTGATGATGATGATGAAACAAGAACATCAACAACAACATCAAGTGATGTTATGAAAAAAATTGATTATGAAACTGATAATAAAGGTGTTAAATTAAAAAATTTTAGTCAAAAAAGAAAACGTAATGAAAATGATGATGAAATTAAAAATAATGATAATAATGAAATAGTAGGAATTTCAAATAATAATAATAATCGTAATAATTATCATAAAAATCCTTGTAATAACAATAATTTAGAATTAATTAATAATAATAATAATAATGGCAGTAATAATAATAATAATAAAGGTATTCTATTAAAAGATATTTTAAAGAAAAATGCTAAATTAGCTGATAAAAATAATTTATTAAAAAATTTAAATAATAATAATTGTAATAATAATTCAAATAATAATGTATCAACAACAGAAGGATCATACCAATGTCAATTTTGTGATAAATCATTCCCACGATTGGGATATTTAAAAAAACACGAACAGGTGAGAATATTGTAAAATTATAAATTCTATTTATATACACATGTTAGCATGTTTAAGTATTCAATAATATAAATTTGTACTGCAGCCTTTACTATTATTTAAAAAAAAATTAAAATATACCTTATAATTACAAGAAAGGTCTGAACTGATCCAGCAAGAAAGATCATTCTCTCTTGATTCTCAATCAAAAGTTAGTATATTTTATTCTTGTCAATTTTCCCTTTTTTTTGCTTGAAAAAATCGCTTTTCAAAATTTTGAATTGATGCTAAATTTTTAATCGATTATAACCATAAACAATTCCAAAAATTTCCATAATAAACTGGTTCTTATCAAGGTACGTTACGGCCGCGTTTACATATTATACATATATAAAATTGCCATATACATATACAAATCTTCAAGTTTTCATTTTAATAGCAATATTATCAAAGGCAAGCTAAAGGAATATTTCAGTAGACTGAGCTTGGATTGTAGATTCTATCGGCAGGACAAGGAAACCTCAGTACACCTTCTGGGGGAGTGTGATGCCTCGCTCGTAAGAGAATAGAAATACTGGGAGATTGTACTTTCACAGCAGCAGGGTTACGATCTTGCGACTCTCACAAAGTGTTCGAGTTCATCAGGAAGGTGGATCTCGAGCATGTGTTGTGAGGCATTCCCCGTTTCAGGCGGAAGGAAGAGAGAACCCAATAAATCCTTATAAGTGATCACGGTGCACTGTTACCTGCGGTTTTACAAATCTGGAAATCTACAATCTACCTAAATTTTGGCTATTTATTTATAGAGGAGGCGGCAAAGATAAAAAGAAACTACATTTCACACACGCAATTTTATTTTATTCATCATTATCATTTTTCTATTATAATTTTTTTCTCGTATATGCCTTCGTTTGGATCACCAAAGACTAAAAAAGAAAAAAAAATCAAAAAATGAAAAATCAAATTTAAATTTTCTACAATTAAATTTCATTTTTTACTTTTTCTTTTGCAAAATCTTTGAATAATATTTGAAATTCAGTCCAAAAAAGAAACAAAAAAAAAAATTTTAAATAACAAGAAAAATCTATAAAAAGGTTATTTTTTTTTTTTAAATTTTTGGTTTTTGCAATCATACAAAAGAATAATAAAATTTGATTTAATGATCGTTTACCTTTCTTTTTAAAAACACAAAAAATAACAAAATTGTATAAGTAAATTAAGTACAAAGTAACTAACAATTTAGTTGTATGTGGTACCCACCATATATGTAATCAAAATCTTAATAAAACAGTGAGGCGAGTATTTTTTGTTTTTGTTTTCTCTTTTTTTCTTCTCTCATTTTAGTTTTTTTTTTCTATAAAACTTAAAGAAAACCGACACTAAAGTAACTGGATTACGTGATGATTTTACTAAAAATGACAAAAATGAGAAAAAAAACAAACAAGAAAAAAAATGTAAATTGTCATATGTCATCATTCAACTTTACCATCATCATCAACATTATTTTGTTATCATTTTCATATAATATGTATGTACGAGTATGTGCATATTGTATATAATAATCAACATCATTGTCAATCATCATTTTATAATAAAATATAAAAGATCTTCATATCATAATATTCAAAGTGTGTCTAGATAATAAAATTAAAATTTAATTTTAATATTTCAAATACAATTCTTCTATACTATGTACAAATATTTACATATTATATGTATATATATTTATAATGATGTATAATTGCTAGAATTAAAAACTATTTATTTAGTGCACTATTTAAGTACCCTGTTTTTTTTTTATATTTTTAATTGCTTCTCGAAAATTTTAAAGTATAAAAATAAAAATAATTAAGAATCAAAACTGATATGAGCATAGAAAAACTAAAATTTCTATTTGTATAGTATTAAAAATAATACATATGTACTTTTAGTCTGACATTAATTTAATTAAAAATTTCAAGGTGAATTAAATAAATATTATTTATAAATATATAAAATTAGTATGTGTGTCATTTTAAAATGTAGATGAAATTCGTAAAATTTTATTCACAATATGCGTAATATTAAAATTAAATTATAATTATAAAATTAAAATTAATTAAAATGAAATTATTCAGGCTTAAAACTAATAAATTTTTTTTAGTTATTCTCTTCTTCAAAAATAAACTGCTTACACAGGTTAAGTTAAATTAGGTTAACGAGGCCTGCCGAAGGGTACAAATAGGCGCCTCTCATTCGAACCAGCCAGAACTGCTCATAAATCGGCTGAGTTCTTTAATATTTATATTCGCTATGTGCGCAGTGCAATTGAAGAAGTAAGACCCAAGAAATCTCTGCCTGGAGTTCGCCAGAGCCGAACATGAGCACAGGATTAGCCCCTGTTGTTTCCATCAACTAATTATTTTAAACAACTAATATTTTCTCAGATAATTGTTCCGAATATTGACGAAATTGACTAAAAACTATTACCCCTTTCTCGAACTCCAGAACGCCGAACTGTTATATTTTTTTATAATTCAAGTAACAGTACTATAATAGACAAAAAAGAGCAATAGAAAACCGCTATTTTTGAAGTAAATAATATCATCAAAAAGAATAAGAGACTGATTAAAACCTGTTTCTTAAATAATCTCTAAAATCCAAAAAAATTTTCGATTTCTATTATCTTATAATTGACAGATATTTAATTTTTCCTTTAAATTATAATGCCAATTCTATGCACTTATACACATACATATTATACACGTATTTACTTGTACACTGCAAAAATATATTATTTTACAAAAAAAAAATTTACATTTCTTATTTGGTTATACTGATTTCTTACAATGGTATATGAAATCATTGTCGTCGCCCTTTACACCTTTTAATAGCTATAGTACGTGATATAATCAAGTTTTTCATTTTTTTTTTTTCTTGAAATTTTTATAAAAAAAAAATTTTAATTTCTTCATATGAAAAATGGGCTACAAAATAACAACGTTGTTAATTTTAAGCTTAATTTTCATTTAGAGAAATAAAAAATTATGTATATACATATATATGTTTTTAAAAATATATATGTACACATGTATCACGGTTTACATCTTTATACACAATATATAAAGTATACCATTTAAAGCTATAAAATTAAATTGAGATCATAAGTTTTCTTTAAAAATTTCAACACATTATTTACATACACTTTACATCACATGTGTTACAAAATTCTGTAATAATTTTTAGCCTTAAATACATACTAAAATATCTTGCATGCAATCGAGAATTAAAAATTTTTACAATGATATTTAAAAGTAATTTTTAATATTGAAACTAAAATTAATTCGGAATATTAAAACTATGTTTGTCTTAATACTCTTGAACAAAATAAAAATTTAATTTTTAACTTGATCATTCTTAATTGATGCAAACTCATATGTAGTCTTAAAATTGAGAAAAAAATTAGTTTGATTAAAAAAATTAAAATTGTTTTAAATAAAATTAAGTTCTGAAATAATTTGAAATCAAAGCGCCCTCTGTAAAATATTTAATTTTTTTTTTGTAGTAGTCCAAAAGACTTAAACGAGAAACTTGAAATTTTTTTTATTGTTGAAATAAAACAAAAAAATTAATTTAATTTTTCTATTTTGAATTTTTTTAGAGTCATGCTGAACATTTACCATTTAAATGTGAATATTGTGCACGTCTATTTAAACATAAACGATCACGTGATCGTCATACAAAATTACATACCGGTGACCGCCGTTATCGTTGTCCACATTGTGAGGCAGCTTTTTCAAGAAGGTAATAATATTAAATTAAAAAAAAACAAAAAAATAATTTTACTATTGAAACAGTAAACAACATAAATTAATTTAATTTAAAATTTATATATTTATGCAGTGATCATTTAAAAATTCATATGAAAACTCATGATAATCAGAAACCATTTCAATGTACAATCTGTAATCGAGGATATAATACAGCTGCTGCTTTAACATCTCATATACAAAATCATAAAAAACAAGCAGCTCTCATGGGTACTGGTTTACAACCATTAAATTATAGTCCACGATCAACTGGTTCAACATCAAGTAGTGCTGGTAGCCTATTTGGTATGCGACATCAAAAAAGTCCATTATCAATGTCTGGTACTGATTATGGTAGTAATACTGGCAGTCCAATACGTAATGATTCAAAATTATCAATGCATCATCAAAATTTATCATGTTTATATTGTACACAAAATACATTTAATGATTTAGAACAATTAAATAAACATATGCAAACATGTCACAAGGATATACAATCATTATCAACTGGAAATCTAAATAATGAATCATTATCAAATGATGGATTACAAAATCATAAAACCCCAACGCCATCAACACCAACTTCAACTCCAATTCCAAATAGATCAACACCTACACCAACATCATTAACACCAGCCTTAACACCAATTCCATCTACAATGTTAAATTTTCCTTTAAGTTGTGAATATTGTACAATGAAATTTACAAATATTTCTACAATGTTTCAACATATGAAAACAGCTCATATTGATCAAATGAAAATTTCAAATTTTGAACATTTGGATAATTTATCATTTGGCTTTCACGGAAATTTCAATCAATCATCACCGAATACAGTATCTCAACCATCATCAGCTACCGATTGTTTTGGTGATATTAAAATTAAAAAAGAAAGTCCAAGCCCAAATTCAAACAAGCAATCATGCGGTGATAATAGTAACACATCGAATACTGGTGAAAAAGATGAAAATTTAATTCAATTAAGACCAACAGATTTAAGCCAACCAAAAAAACATTCAAATCAAACAACGAATAATAATGAATTACAACCAAAAGATATTTCGCCTAATGATAAATTCTTTCAACGAACTTTCTTATGTAATCAATGCAATGAGGCTTTACCTGATTTTCATTCATTCAGAAATCATTTAAAATTGCATATAACACAAAAGATGGGTATGATTTGCCAACATTGTGGTGTTACATACCATGATAAAAATGAATTAGATCGTCATATAATATCACATTTTTTAATAGCAACATCAGAATTTAATTGTTCGAAATCATGCAAGAAAACTTTTACGAAAGTTGATGATTTAAGAACGCATTTATTTGAACAACATTCTCAAGTTGTGTACAGGTGCACATTATGTTCAGAAGTTTTTGATACAAAAATTGCAATTCAAGTACATTTATCATGTACTCATGTTAATGAAGTAAAAACTTATCAATGCTCAGCATGTATGAAACAATTTCGAAATGAAGAAGATTTTTCAATTCATGTAAAAAGTCATTTGGCCCCACCGAACGGTTGTATACAATGCATGTTTTGCCGAACTATTTGTACATCTCAATTGGAAATGCATTTTCATTTAGCAGCACATGCGCAACAATTTCGATGTCCTTCTTGTCCAGAAACATTTCAAGTTGAATTTCTTCTTGAAAGACATATACAAACACATCATTCAATGCGTAAAGATACAATAAATCATCATCATCAAGATTTAATTAATGGATCTAAACATTTGCTACAAGAAGAATCAGATCAGTATGGTGCATTACAACAGCAACAGAGACAATCTCCAAATAATTATCCTCCAAGAGGAAAAAATATATTTCAAATTCCAAATTCAATTGCTGTAAAACCAAATAACAAATTTTATTCTCCATTACAAGTAAATACAACCACAAATAACAAGCAACATTTAAAATATGGTTTAAATCAAAGATTTGACACAAAAAAATCGCTTTTAAATTTTATGTACAATAACTATCATCATCATAATCAACAGCATCAGGAAGAAAAGATTAACAATGATGGTTTTCCTCATACTCCAGGATTCTTATTAAGCCCGACAACTTATTTTGATAATAATTATGATAACATGACAGCAGCAGCAGCGGCTGCGGCAGCTGCAGCAGCGGCTGTAGCATCATCGAAGCGTAATAATCTTTCAACATTAGAAAATCCTTCAACTAGTAAAACAGGTACACAATCAACTTGCAATGAAAGAAAGCAGATTGGTTTTAGTTGCGGTATGTGCGAACGTAATGATTTTCGCACCGAATCTGAAGTTAATACACATCGTAAAATTGTACACAACTTGAAAACTGGTGTTAGTCTACGTTGCGCTTATTGCAGCGGTAACTTTAAATCTAGAAGCGAATTAGAACATCATATGAAAGCTTGTCATAATTCTATGGGCAAACATAAATGTTTAATATGTGATGAAATATTCCCATCACCAGCTATATTGGCTGAACACAAACTTCAGCATTCCAGAGTAGGACGTTCAGGAAAATGTGTTCATTGTTCCACTCCATTAAATGATATTGCAACATTCAAGTTACATTTATCCAAACATGTTACAACAAATAAAGATCCAATACCAATACAATGTATTTGTTGCCGACAAACATTAAATTCTGATTTTGAAGTTGAATTGCATGCAAGGTAACATAAATTTTATTAAGAAAACAATATATTTATACATATATATCTATATTCTATTCGTTGAAAAATTTTAAATTTTAATTATTTTTTTATGTAACATTTTTTTACATAAAGGTATCATACAAAAACACCAAATGTTCCAGAAAACGGCTGTGTACTCTGTTTAGAGCCATTGCCTCCTACAGCACAAACACGTTTATGTGAAAAGTGTGATCTTAAACATAAACTTAATGTAACTGGTGCTGGTACAACATCTTCTTCAGTAGCATTAGCAACTGGTATTATTAATAATGCTAGCGCAGTTGCTGGTGCAATTCGATTTACAAAACCTCAACAAAATTATACAGAATTTTTAGAAAACAAATGTCATTTATGTAAAATAATTTTACCACATCAACAACGACTTCAAGAACATCTTGTAGAGCATACATTTGCCGGTTGTGAAGAACGTGGCTATTCTTGTTATATATGCTCTTCAGTATTTACAGTACCTGGTGGTCTTTTAAATCATATGAGTGAACATGGTCAAAATGCACGACCATATGATTGTAATATTTGTCAAGAGAAATTCTTTTTTAGAGCTGAATTAGACAATCATTTATTTAAACATCAATTAAATGATTCTAGTGAATTTATTGAAAAAACATTACAAATTCAGTCATCACCTATTGATATGATAAAAACAAAAGAAATTAAAAATTATTCACAACAAATACAATCCCATCATCAATCTATAAATGAAGAACAAAAAAATCGTAACTTAAATGATTTAATTAAAGGTGAACGTAAACAACAGCAATCTGAATTACAAAAAAATCATGATAATAATAGAATTTCAACAGATAATCAAGAATTTCATTTACAAGATACAAATGAAATTTTTAAAACTGAAATTAAAATTGAAAATAAATCAATTGATAGTGAACATGGTAATTCTAATAATAATGAAGAAATTATTGATAATAATAATGAAGAAGATGAATATATTGAAATCGAAAAATTAGCTGAAACATCAACGACTCCTCAAGAGAATTAAACATAAAATTAATTTATTTTTCTTCTTCATTTGAATATACAATTAGAAAAAAACTCCTTATATTAATTATATGATGAAATTTTAATCAGAATTATTTACAAATCTAACATAATTTTAATTTAATTAAATTGAAAATACATTTATCATGTACTCATGTATTTGGTAAATTTGTTTGGTTTATCCTAAAAAATCCAAAATATTATTTTGTATAATTTTAATTTAGAAGCAGAATATTTTTTTTTATGTTTCCTCACTATCAGATCACAGTATTTTCTTCCGAGATATTAATTAACGTAAGCTATGAACTAAAGCATATAGCATATCATAATGTTCGTTCTATTAAACTACAATTTATTATTTAATTTATAATTATCAATATTAATTTAATATTGCAATTTATTACCTAACTTATAATTACTGAATTTAATAATATCTTTTAGTTTTCTAAAAAAATACTTAAACTATTTATTGTAAATAAATATTATATGAATTGTACACATAATGAATAGTTGTAATTGTATACATATGTTCCATTATGTATTTCAATTTAAAATATAAACCTTTTTTTCGACTAAAAGTTCTACTATTCGGCAAATGATTGTTTGAAAACAACTTTTGATTGCTTTATTTTTTACTTAATAGGGCCAGTGAAGCAGTATTAAAAAAAATTATTAGAAATTATTAATATAATTTTTAAGTTTCTAATATAATTTTGTCAATTTTGAATTTCAATACTTTAAAAATTCAATTAAAATATATTAATAGTATTAGAATAATAACACTCATATTAAATTTACTTTAGAACAAAAAAGTTTCTTATTATGGTACAAATAATACAAATGATTTGTACATATTATTATATATACACAAATTTAATAATAAATACTAAATTTTAATACATGTTTTAAGTATTTTATAATTAAAAAATTACTATTATTATTAATTTAGAACAAAACAAGTAAAGAAAAATAAAAAATATAATTAAAAATTTTGAAAGAAAACAAAACAAATTGTTATATTCTAAAACTGTAATACATATATAATAAAAATTATTAAATTTATAAATTACAATTTTACTTTAAATTAACTTTAATTATAAATTAAATTTAATTATAAAATAACATGTTTTTTGTTTTTACATGAATATATTAATATTTAATATTATGTTTCAAATCGGAACATTATTTATATTTATGTGGTTAATTTTTTTTGTTTTTTTTCTAAACATTTTCACACTTATTTATAAATGATTTGTAATTATATTTAAAAATTATATAATTGTTCTTAAATTTTAAAAATAATAATTAAAATGCACACAATAATTTTCATATTATTATAATTTATAAATGTTTTTTATAATATTATTATAATTATAAATATTTTTTAATTTAAAAATATAATAATTTTAAAAATTTGTAAAATCTTACAATGTTTATTTATTTGAAATTAATAATTATAAACTTATTTCTGTTAATTAATTAATCTAAATTAAGATATTTAGTATTTAGAGTATATAATACATATTTAGAATATATTTAATTAGTAATAAAGTAGTAAAATTCTTAGAAATTAATAAAATTTTAAAATACATATTAGTATTAAAAAATAAATAATAAATTATAAAAAATATAATAAAAAGAATAATAGAATATTTTGTAAAGAACGAGAAAAAAAAAACATAATAAAGACATATTCAGAGATCATTAAAAACTATAAATAAGAAATTAAAAAAAAAATTTTTAGAAATTCTAGTTGAAGTTAATTTTTTCGAAATATGAAAAATAAGATCAGAATTCTTTAAATATTTGTTTGGAGATTGATACTAAATGAATTTTGGCACTTGTTTAAACTAAACAACCAAAAAAAAAAAAAAGACAGTGAAATACACATTTTTAATTAAAAATCAATATGTGTACCAATGAACCAAATTTGTTGGAATCCTACCATATTTTTTCCAAAAAAAACAATTTCCAGTAAAATATTATTATTCAATATTAATAACATGTACGTTATATGCGCATAATATGTGTACACATATAATTATTTAAAATCCGTTCTTACATAACGATAGGTCTGAAAATAAGGCGGTCTATTTAATAACACAAAAATTCCTTTAAAGTACAATACAATTAAATGGCAGCCTGCTTTTTATAAAAATAATAAATAAAATATTTTTCTTTTTGTTTTATTTTCTTTTCTATTTTTGAAAAAAAAAAAAATTAAAAATCTCAAGGATATTAAAAAGAAAAGAAATAAAAACATAATTCTATAGGACGCGGGATCCTTTTCATTGTTATGGGTGATAATATCAGTTTACATGAATTATTTAGAATAATTATAAAAAAAAAACACAAAAAATTTAAAAAAGCAAGGATTTAAAAATCGTTCATTTCCTTTAATTTAAAAAAAAAAAAAGCCAGAGATAGAAAGAAATTTTAATGTATGACACATTTTGAAAATTCACACTAGTATTTACGTAATAAATTTGAATATAATTTTGAAATCAGGAAATATTGCATGTTTTTAACCTTTATTCGATTCACGGTATGTTTAATTACCATTTACTTTAATTATATTTCAACTCATTACTCTTCAATTTAAATATTTTTCAATATGTAAAGAATAACATAATCATTTGAATTTTCAGTATAGTTTACTTACATACTAACGTGAATATAAATAAAAGTATTGACAAATTTTTATATTTATTCCTACAAATAATCTGAAATAACAGACAACAGGCAGAATAACTAAAGATTAGCCAATTTTAATAAATTAAGGAAACTGCTTTTCTTTCACACAAACGTTCATACATTTATAATCATATGAGTACTATTCATATCACCTTTTTGTTTTTAATTTTTATAACATCATTAAGAAAAAAAAAAAGGTTTTTGTTTCTTGCCTTAAAGATTGCATCTTTATGATTCTTTTATTTTTTATTTGTATGCTGGCATTTTAATTTCCTTTAAGTAAAATTCTTTGAAACTCCTTAATAAAATCGTCTATGGTGCAAATTTATAAAAAAAAATGGTTAATTTTAAGAATAAAATAAAAAAGTGGAAATTTAATACGCTAAATAACACACATACGTATATAGTATATACGTATATACTTTACATATTTATTGCTATATAATCAAACATAAAATTTAACGGTGGATATAAACAATTAAACGATTAAAACTCGGTAATCCAAGTTGTAATTGATGAAAGCAAGGAATTATTGCGTTATTCGATATTTTATAGTGATAAATTATCATCCCTTCAACAAAACAATTTTTTTTTGTAAATCTTTGATTTCCCGAAAATTGATTTTTTTACTGTAAATACTTACATATGTATATATTAGGTACATTATTTATTATTATACCTATGTATAATTAAAAAACTAAAAACCCTTCTGTTATATCCAAACTCCTATAATGTCCCATATAACCCCCATATAATGATGTCTGTGCTATATCACACCTACATATGTACAATGTATTTATTTCTATTTTCTATAAGCCGTGAATCGTCATAACAATATTACCAGCGAAACCATCTTCCGAATAATGAACAACCGATATTTGTCTAGGAGATCCTCTAGAAAAAAAGGAGGAGAATATCAAACTTTTTTCCTACAATTCAATTTCGAAATATCAAGATTCGGTTTAATCGTCCAATTTCATTAATTTTTATTCTTGGCATTTTGCAAACCCCAATTATATCATTTAGCGAACATGGTTTCTGTAATAAGAATAAAAAATCATGTGAACATCAAAACATCTTAAAGAAATAGGAATTAACTTTGCGGGCTATTAAAATTATTTGATGAGTTTCCTCAAATCAAAAATTTTAAACAAAAAAATAAACATATATTACCTTCTATACGACAGGAAACACAATTTTTCATATTTTTTTAATTAGTAAACATTTTATGTAGAGATCAGTTGTTTGAATGGATATTACTCATTGTATTATTATCTAAAATTATATCTTATATAAATTTTCTAATGGAATTATCCATACACATATTATTAGTATTTTCAATGTTGTTTATGCATATATATTTGCTTTAAATATTTATTCAATTGAATAAATTAATTTTGCTATTTTATATAAAACTAACATGGTTAAAACCATTAAAATATTAATTTTTATCATACACAAGTATGTGGTTAGCATTAATTTTATATAAACATGTACGTATTTACTAGAGTGATGGGTATAAAATATCTTAAGTAATCTGCTATTAGCTCTAATTCTTCAAAAGTAAGTATCTTAATCAGTTAATCGAAAATATGGAATTCAAATAGACAAAGATTAATTATTAAGTATACATATTTATTATATTCAGTAACCCGAAATAAATCTTAACAAGTACAAAATTCTGTAAAATACAGAAAACTGTGGCATACAAGTATTTTACAAGGACTTATTTTATTCTGTTGAATTCATAGATGTATGTATTAATTTTTTATTTTTGTCTTTTTTAAAAATTAAAATATGTATGTTCTAAATTTCTTGAATTTTCAGGCGATGCTGGGTTAAAACGGCTACGTCTAAAATTGGTTCTTGTTGCAATAATTCACTAACATGATATTTCATTGATTCTTCAAACGCATATAATATACTTGTGTCATATAGCATCATATTACATTGTGCTAATGCTAACACACAATTCCTTAATCTGACAATTACTTCTCGGTCAGCTTTTGGAACCATTTCGTTCAGATTTTGAACAAAACCACCAGCTGATTCTTCTGAATTAATTGGTGGACAAATCCATATAAAGCCATTGTTTCCTAAAATCAATGAAGCTCCACATGATAAGTTATGGAAATGTGTTTTTCGACGTTTTATTAAAGATGGAAAAACTTTGATTAGTACTCCTTGGGAAAGTTTTCCATATTTTAAACTTCTCATGCTTAATGATAAACTACCGTCTTCAAATATATTTTGTACTTCAGCTGAAACTAAATCACCTTCTTGTAAATATTTTCGCATCATTTGTTCATCTTCCACAGAACGTCTTCGTAATTCACCACCTGGTAAATTGACTGATGACAACAGCAATATGGAATCCAATCGGGAGTTTGTATCTACTTTCCATCGCTTTTGTTGGACTTCTGTTACTCGTCCTACAACAACATCGCCTATTTCTCCTACGTAACGATTTTTTAAAGGCTTTACTGATTTTAATTTATTTACACGCTCAATAACTCCTGCTACTGAAGCTTTTATGTTATCATCTTCTATATATGTCCCATGTCCATTCATAAAACCTTCCTTTGCTGACACTATTTCTCCTGGTGTACATAACGGTGGAATTTCGCCTTCATTTGAAATAAATGTAGTATTAACTCGATCTGTAGCTAACCGAATATCAACAAATACACTCATTTTATTTTTAAATTATATATACACTTTTATTAGCAATTTAAAAATATGTTTAGGTATTTAAAAATCTAACCTTATCCCCATCGTATAAACAAAACATTTCCTATTTAGTATTTAGACAGTTCCTACTGTCAAAATATAACAAGGATATAATTTTAGCGACATCTTGCGATAGAAAATAAAAAGTTATTATTAAGACCAAAATATTCAATAACAAAATTCAGAATGGTTTGTGTCCCTAACAAAAATACATTAAAATTTACATCTATTTTTTATTCAAAAATGTTTATGTACATTATAATATATTCTACATCATTAATATTATAAAAATTTTTAAAAATTAATATAATTTGGAAAGACAATAAATTAAACCAAAAAATTCTGAGTTGAAAATGACATGAAGACATAACTTGATAAGCTGCAGAAAACTTAATAATTTATGCCACACTTTTAATAAAACAAAAAATTTTTTTTTATAAAATACACATATTGAAATTAGACTGCCCAGAATCAAGCAAAATTATCGCAACGAACTTAATCGCCAGCGGTAAAATAGTCCAAATCTGTTTATCGCTGGCGGTTTTTTTTGTGGACATTATCTGCCGTTTTTACAGTTTTTAGTTTTGTTTTTACCATAAGGAATATAACATGTCATACATTCTAAACTCTCTTACGTGACACAATTGCCCAACAGGCACTCAAATGGACTGTGTAAACAAACGAGTGTATCAAAAACATTGAACTGAAATAAAATTAAATTAAGTGAGGTAAAAATTTTGTTATTTTTATTTTGATAATAACAAAATTTATTTTTTATTTTTCATTTTATTAAAGTTAGGTAAAAAATTCGAATGTATGAAAGCAAAAGATATATGAGTTTGAAATTAAATGTATGAATATACACATGCATGTACCTGGTACAGTAGATACACAGTATCAGGTAGTGACATAGAAAAAAAATAATTTATAAAGAAAAAAAAGCTGTTAATATAATACACATTTTTTGCCACTTTGTACTGGAATAAGTTATAAAAATAAAACTCCCGTCTTTAAAATTCTTAATATTTTTTCCTATACTTTATATAGGGAAAAATAAATAACTCCCGCTTTTAAAAATACATTATAAAAAAACAGGTAGACATCTATTGCGCACTCTTTTCCTCTCCCAAAAATTCTTATGTGTATAAAAATGAAAATAAGAAGGAATACTGCATAACTCTTTTACCCAGCATTTACACATACAAGTTACTTGCATGCAAGTTTGTATAATATTAATTGTCAATTAGTTTTTCGAAATGTCAAATTACTTGCTATTATGACGTAGGCGTTTAGCAAGTTAATTTTTGAAAATGTCTTTGAGAAGAAAACAACTAGCAATATATGTATATAATTGTTTATAAATTTTAGAAACCATAAGTTTGCTAAGTTTAATTTTTTCAAAACAAAATTCAAAAACTTTAAATTAAAAAAAAAAAATCAAAACAACAAATTTTTTTTTTGTGAATTTCTCAATATGTCAAATTACTTGCTCAAATTACTGGCAGCAAAATTTTCTTGCAAGTTGAACTGCAAGTAAACAAGCAAGTAGAAATATTTCAATGTGTTAGTAAAATTTTTGTATGTTTTGCAACTTTCTTGCAAGTAACTTGTACGTGTAAATGCTGGGGTAAGATATAGTTTGATTGTAACTTAGTAAAAACATAATATGAAATTTGGATAAGAATTTTGAAACAAACTTTCATATCAAAACAAATCCGCGATAATAGCTCAAGCTTCTTTCAAATTTCATAACAAAAAACAAAATTTATGAGCAGTGATTAATGTTCAAACTCTTCCTAATTGCAAAAACAGAACCAAAAGAGGAACGGCAGAATTCTGACATTTCGCTGCGAAAAATTGCTCTGATTCTGTTTTCAACTTAATAATTTTATTTTCAAAATGTTAATAAACAATTTTGACAACAAACTTAAAATTCTTAAAAATAATATTTTGGGGATTTACAAATTTAAATGTGATTGACAAAAACAATTTCATACTGAGTATAAGTTAATAACAATCAATCTAATCGCTGATTCTTTGTTTTGAATTTGAAGTGTTGAATGTTGATAACATGAGCTTTCTGTTTTTGTTTGACTCTCTGAAACTATTTAAGGTACATTATGGGGAAAAAATTGAATACTTTAATAGTGAATAAAATAATGTACTTTATTCACTGAATACTTTAATAGTGAATAAAATGAGTTTTAAAATTAAGTTTTAAAACATTAAATTTGTTAGCTTTTTTCTTATATTTGATTTGTTAGACAAGTATTGAATCCTTTTGAATTTGAATTTGTGCATTTAAATGAAAAGTTTTTATTTTCTGAGCTTCAATATCATCTCATTCAACTAAAAATGGCAAAATTGAATTTTTAATTTCATTTTTCGATATATATGTATGTTCATATCAAAATGCAAAAATTTCAATCTCAGCCACATTGTGTGTGGTAGCCTCTTATTGTTAATTTTTGTTCCCGCGCCATTCGTATTCTTCATAGATTTTTCACTACGCTTCATCTTTCGTAAGGTGAAGTAAGTGAATCTTACTTCAATGAATATCAATGTGATATTAAAAAGCAAAAAAAATTGAGGAAGATGGATAGTTTGAAAAGAGCCAATGATTGGTGAAAAAGTTCATTCACAAATTTGATGATTTCCCCATATTAAAAAGTGCAGTTACAAGAGAAAGCCTCAATCAATGAATGGCAAATAAATCTGGAAAAAAAAAAATCAAAAAACAATAAAATTTTTCACTATCAACAAAATTTTAAAATTCAGTATTTGTTTTTTGTTTAAATTAAAATGTACAGTGCTATATTAGGTTAGAAAAATTAAATAGGTAGAAACATTTTTTTCCACAGTGTACAACGTACATATCTACATACATTGCATATTTACGTTAAGGCACATATAATGTATATATTTATATAAGTTGAATGAGTAATAATAACCACATACACATAGGTGCTCAGTTATGTTGATATCTGCTTACTTTTAAATCAAAGTAAGCAGTTTACTTCAAAAAATTAGAAAATATGGAAGTTCGAGAAATTGATTCGGGTATTATAGATAATTTTTCATTAGAAGCTATGTGCTTTTTGAAAAAATTACAACATTTTTATATAAATTCTAATAAACAAATAAATAAAAATTTAACGGAACAATTTAATTTAATATTGGATTCAATCGGCGATATATTTGATGAAGATCCTGAATTGGTTGTAACTAAAAATGAGGATTTTTTGAAAAATTCTGAAGAAATTAATGGAAATATAAAAACAAAATTTTTTTGTTCGTCATGTAGCTGTTTATTAAAGGAAAGTGTAAACGCAATACAAGAACACATAAAATTAAAACATTCTAAACAAACAAATTTGGATAATTCAACTGTCCCTTTAAATTTAATTCAATATAAAACCTTAATACCTGGAAATCCTATAGTTCCAGTATCACCGCCACCAGCAGCTCACTTGCCAGCTCCAACTCTTCTCATGCCTACTCCCTTAATTTCATTGCCAGTACCTTTACAACCTAATCCAATGTATAACACATGCGTGCCCATGCCTGCAAATATAGTTCAGCTTAAAAGCATGCAGCATATAAATTTACCTGAATCATTTTTAAAGGATTATGCTTCTATTGAACCATTTAATAAGAAAATTTCTGAAGTAAAACTAATTGTTGAGAAAGTAAGGATTCAACTAAATAAGCATTTAAAAAGTTCTATGCTGCCTATAAAAGTCTTTTTGTATGGATCAAGAGCATTTGGGCTAGGATATCATGATTCAAATTACAATTTTAATGTTGAAATATACAAGGATAAAGACAAGAAAGTAAGTTCAATAGAGAAAGTGAAAATGGTTTCTGATTGTTTACAAAAACACTTAAGTGTTTGGCGCACAATGCGGCAAAATCGAAAAGATGAAATTCCATGGACTGAGCTTAAGAATATAGATTTAAATATCGTATGTAAGCTCACTTTTGAAAATGATGCAATTTACCGGGTACAAGTGGACTTAATAAATTACTATTTGGAGATTCCAATAATAAGACGAGTTGCAACTTTGGTGAAAATCGTGTTACATAATTACAAGATAAAGATAAATAGTTATATATTATTAATATTAGTGATTTTCTTCTATCAAAAAAAATCAGTTCTACCACCAGTATTTGCATTGCAGTCAAGATGCGCACCAGAGTTTCAGGGAGCTTGGCAGGTTAATTTTAATAAGGATGTAAATCTCTTACATTCTTACGCTCAGTTTCCACCGGATAATCCAACAAATTGCTTTATTGATTTCAAATCTTTTTGTTTATTTTACCTTAGTTTTGATTTTAAAAAAAATATTATAAGTCCTTTAGTTGGCAATATTTTTCAAAGAGATAAGCTCGCCCTAACGCAACAGCTAAGTAAACATGTTAACTACACAAATTTACTTAAGTACTCTCCAATGGCCATACAGGATCCAATAGTACAAAATGTTAACTTAGCAGCAAATATAACAGAAGAAAATCTGAAAGAATTTAAGAAAGTTTTAGAAAAGTACAAGTAAATAATAACTACCTGATATAAAAATATGTAAGCGTACATGCTACAATAAACATGGTTTAATATTAATAATTATATTTTATGTAGAAATATAAAAGTATATGTAATTGTTTTTACGTATTTTCAATATAATTTTTTTTTTCAATTTGTGTTAAAACTTAATGACTACATACATACATATATAAAAAAAATCAGATATTTAGAAAAATTTAGTTTTATTTCAAATATTTTACTTCAATAACATAATTTCTTCAATTTCTTTAATTCACTCCTTGTAGATTGTGGTAAGTATAGATTTTGGTAAGTTTCCAAATTGGACTGTTCTTTAATCTTTATCAGGACTTCAGGAGGGTTTTACGTGAGAATATTATGATTGTTATGACATTTATTTGAGTTATTTTAATTTCTTAAATTCAAATTGTGCTAAATTAGGCAGAATTCAACGCTATTTTATGTCAGAAAAAAAAATCTTATAATTTAGATAATACGTTTTTTTTGTTTATTTATCTCCAAGTAGTTAAAAATACATAATTTAATAATATATTAAATTCTTGGACGTAGATAAAATAATTCTTAATTTTAAGAAAACGAAACTATTCTAACATATTCAATAAATTTAAATTAAAATTCCGATTTACTAATAAAAAATGAATTCGAATAAAGTTACCTAACTTCGTTAACTTTTTTTAACCGCCAATAAATACACGGTGGCAGCATTTAAAATTGGCTGGCACTTCACATATTGACATTAAGAGATATGTCACACTGCACATAGCAAATAGGAATATTTTTGATGAAGAATATAAACAATTATAATAAAATAAAAGGGAGGAATTTGTAAAGATTAACTGAATAACTTAAAAAAAAAACACTTTCCGAAATGAATTCATGTGAAGAAAACATAACAGTTGATCTTGATCCTGATGATGTGAAAATAAAGAAGGAATTGAATGTTTCTATTGAACGGAAATGTGGAGAAATATATTTTACTAATCATATGTTTTATTTAAGTTGTAATTATTGTGGAAGTAAATTTAATACAATAAAATTATATGTTCAACATTTTATCCACAATCACTTAAGTCTTAGCGTAGATCAAACAATTTTAGTTATAAGACAAATTTTATCTGATGATGAAGATTCTGAAGCTTGGGACGAAAATAATGACAAACTTAACTTTGAATTAGAGGGCGAAACAACACAGGAGGATTTTAGAAGTGATGAATTAGATACATCACGGGAAGATGTTTTAAAAAATAATTCGGAATTCTATGAAAACAATGGCGATGAAAGAAATACAAATGATGTTGAAGAAAAAAAAAATAAAGCTAGTAATAAAGTAAAAAATTCAAAACGTAAAACAGATGTTAATCAAATTATAGGATCAGACTTCCCGGACGATAATGAAAGAAAAAAGTGGATTTGTAGTGTGTGCAACACCCCGTTTACTAGGCGGGATAATATGCTTCGACATAAATGGAAAATTCACAAGGTTCGTTGCATTGGTAATGGTTAATTATTTGATCAAATATATTTTTTTGATTTTCAATAATATTTGTTGTGATATTGTTGTAAACTTATTTTGGTTTTATATATGATTTACTTATATAAAATTGAAAATTATAGGAAAAACCGAATCCTGATTATGGAGAAATTCGTTTAGATTGTAAATGGTGTGGACAACATTTTAAAAGACATTCAGACAGATCAAGGCATGAAAATCAGCAGCATGACGCAGATGGTGCTAAAATTAATCGCAGAAGAAACTATAAAGAGAATCCTTTAGAAAGACATGTCTGTGAGACATGCGGAAATTCTTATAAACACGCTTGGAGTCTGCAGGAACATTTAAGAATTCATACAGGGGAAAGACCTTTTGTATGCGATTTGTGCAATGCAACATTTGCTAAAAGGCAAAACTTTATAGTACACATGAAATATCATTCGAACGAACGCCGTTTTAAATGCCAATATTGTGATAAAGGCTTTGTGCAAAAAACAAAATTAATTTTACATGAAATGGTACATACTGGAACATATAAAGCCCAATGCACTATTTGCGGAAAACAGTTCCGATGTCGTTCCCGTTTAAATGTACATATGAAAAGGCATATATACGATAAGTGCCATAAATGCGATCAGTGTGAAAAAAGGTAAATATTTTACACATAAATAAAAACTGTTACAAAGCAGTCGGAAACTAATAAATTTTTCTTTCCAGATTTTATACAGCCGATTCTTTAAAAAGACATACAGCTATTCACTCTGATAAAAAGCCATTCCGTTGTGAAATTTGTTTTGCAGAGTAAGTATTTTCCTAATTTTTTCATAATGAATTAAAAAATATAGATTACGAATTTTATTACGGTCTAGGTATTTTACAAAATGTTCCTTACAAAAGCATACAAAACGAAGACACAAAGCATCTCAACCACCAGACCTTCCCATAGCTAATACGGAAAATCCTATGAACTAGCATAATATTTAAGATACATATTTTGATTTAAATTTTTAAAATTAAAAAAATTTCACTCGGCAGGATATCGTTACTTAAACTTAATTTTTTATTTATACATAGTGCAATTTCTATTTTTTTAATATTTTTTCTTTAGTACCTATAATCTAAGTTTTTAATCAATAAAGAAATTAAAATTTTCTTTTAATTTATGTACATAATTATTTTAAATATTTACAAACAAATTATCTAAGCATTATGTTTGTAACAAATTTAGTAGTTAATTTAATCGTGTTTGTTTTTTAAATTTTCTTCTTTTTAAATACATGTTTTCAAAAGCCTATGACGTATGGTTTGATTAATATATATTAAAAAATTTAGAGTGCCACATTATAATAAATAATTACTAAAAAAAAATTAATAGTATTTTCAACGAATAGTGAATCCAAAAAAATGAAAGAAAATCGGAATTCAAAAAGCAATGAATATGTATTTCAATATATGCACATATATAGTAAGAATTGATATCACTATATACCATAATATAAGCAAGTTTTATATATGTATTATTAAACGTAGTCGCTCTCATTGAAAAATTATTTACATATTTTTAAATTCAAAAGTAATATTAAACACCAAGAGTGTTCAATCGAACTACAAACTAGGTACCTGTATTACAAACATCCATCATATAGTAAGTTTAATTTGTACTATGTCTATTTATACAAAAATTAATTTCTCTTTTAAACGGATTGCAGATAGAGAAAGTGCAATTGAGGTAAATCAAAAAAAATATATAACATTAGGCAATATTCCTTATTATTTCTACTGCAGTTTCGTTTAAATTTTTAGATAAAATTTTTATCAGAAACTTTTAGAATTCAAGAAGTTATCCATGGCAAGTCTTAATTTAAATAGACTTTTTTAATGTCTTTAAACCTAAGATGATTATTAATATATACACGTGTTTAAAATTGGTTTTTGTAGGTCAAATTTTTCAAGCATTGTCATTTTAGCACAATATCAAATTTTCCTATGATCTTAATTGAATATTTTACTTAAATAAATTAAAAATTTGTAATTTTTCAAGGTTCTTTAAATTTTTCGTCAAGTTGTTTTCCTTTTAAACCATATTTGCTGCTAACTACATTTACATTATTGTCACGGCTGACAGAAATGTCAAGATTATTGTACCTAAAGCCTAAATGTCAATTTTGGAAAAAGTGCTATGATTTTCAATAAAGGTTGTTTTTACAGTGTGATTTAGAGAAGATGCATATTGTTATTTATCGTAATTTAACAATAAAAAACCTTTTGAAAAAGGAGGTAGAATATCGTAGAAGCAAATTGTATTGGTTTCGTATATTGAAAAATAAGTCAACTTAAATCTGCTAAATAGTAAATAATTTTTTAAACATTTTTGATATATCTTTTTAGTTTGTATTCAGAATGTGCTTTATATTGTTTAAAATTGAACCAGCGGGCTGCGAATGTAATATGTGTGTTATAATTACATGAATTGGCAAGGAAAAACACTTAAATTGTCCCGTTTTACATATAACAGTTTTTCCTGTCTTGCGAAAACATGTGCGAAAAGAGCACAGAAACAATGCTTTGGTGATTCTTGAAGAATTATTTCAAGCAGAAATATTTTGTTTTTAAATGTTCATTTCGTGGCTAAGGAAAGAAATACACTTTTAAATGGTGACCTCTAAGCACGGAAAGTACAGAAGACCTTTTAGGATATTTTTGTTATGTCAGAATCTAAACAATAAACTTATGCACAGTATGATATATGTCATATACAAAAATATATTTTGCTACTAAAAATTGTGGACAAAATACCTAAAAGCTTCAATAGCACTTTCTGAAACTTCAGTAAACTTTCTGAATATTTATTGAAAGAATGACTTTCACTTTCTTGCAGTTTTTTTGTTCTAAGCAAAATATTTTCACACGATAAATAACATTTCAACCACTAATAGATGGATTCAAAAAATGTATTAACTAACATGTCAACGGTGTAACCAACTTCCTGGCATTTGTGCAACGACTTGTCTGCAATCTGTTGTAATATTACGGAAACTTGATGAAAATATAAATAGCTTTTGACATTGACACTTGACTTAACAACAAACTTTTCACTAAATTTGTTCGTTTTGTTTTGCAGCAAACTTAGGAAATAATGAATTAATTTAGAATATATTTTTCTATTTAAGATTGGCTTTAATTATTTGAAGATGGTTAAAATTACTTCTTCCATTAATATAACACCTGACGAAGATGTAAAATTAGAGAAAAATCCTAACATGATAGAGGACAAATTTGTAGCGATTGCAACTGAAGAAATGAACGTTTCAAGAGAAGTTAAGTGCGGTGAAATAATATTTTTCAACAAGAAATTTAAATTTTCTTGCAATTTATGTGAAACAAATTTTTACAAAGTACAATCTTTCGCAAAGCATTGTCTAAAACTGCATTGGAATTTCAGTTTAAATGACGTTAAATTAGTTTTAGATGCAATGCTTTCAAATGAGGATACAGAAGAAAACGAATTGCTAGATGATATAAAAAATTCTTTTGATAGTCCAATTGAAGGTTTATTTGATAGAAGCTTATCACCTGCGGGAGACATAAAAGAAGAAAATTCGGATAATGAAAGTATAAAATCGAGTAAAAGTTCTCATCGGAAAGATTTAAATTCAGAAGAAAGTGAAGATGAAGAAGAGAATTTCCAAAATAATTTTACTGATAGTATTAACTTAGAAAAAAAATTGAACAACACTAACAAAGTTGGAAAATTGGGAAATGATATTTGCCAATATTGTAATAAACCGTATAAAAGAAAAACGGATTTACGCAAGCATTTTATGTTGTGCAAAAAGAGACCTGCAAATGAAGAAGAATATGAGCAAAAAAATGTTACTTTATTTTGTAAATTCAATTGTGGCAGAACTTTCCAACGAAAATGTGATTTGTCCCACCATGAAAATCATAAACATAATCCAGACGGTAGCATTAAGGTTTGGGTTCCAAAAGTAAAAACATATATTTGTGAAACTTGTGGAAATTGTTATCAACGCAAACATTATTTAATACAACATCAACGGGTACACACTGGCGAAAGACCGTATTCTTGTGAATTATGTCCGAAAACTTTTACAAAACGAAATAATTTAACTCTTCATATGCGGCATCATTCCCAGGAACGAAAGTTCAAATGTCAATATTGTGGAAAAGGCTTAACAGATGCAAATAAACTTCGAATGCACGAAATGATCCATACTGGGTTGTACCCATTTAAATGTGATATTTGTGAGAAAAAGTTTCCTTGCAATTCTAAATTGAATGTCCATATCAAAAAGCATATTAATGATAGAATTTATAAGTGTGATTTATGTGAGAAAAGGTATTACATATATATATTCACATAGATATATATATATATTTTTTAAGTCATTTCAAAATTAAATTAAAAAAACAAATATTTAGATTCCTTGATCCAGAAACTTTGAAAGGTCATGCAGCTGTACATAGTGATGAAAAACCATTTGCTTGTGAAATTTGTCCTGCCAGGTTAGTATGCAAGCTAGTAAAAGTGATATTTGTTATAGTTAAAACTGTAGTGTAGGATGCTGATATTAATGGTCTTTGTAGATTTCCTCGAAAAGGTGCCCTGCGATTACATATGAATTTACATAATGAGAAAAAGAAATATAGTTGCAAAATATGTGGAATGGAATTTCATCAATATAATGGTATATACTCGCACTATAAAAGACATGGAATAAAATACTCAATAGCTTATGAAAAAGGGGAAGTCGATGGTACAATAGAATCTAAATCAGAAAATGAATAAGTTTTATAATATATTTTTAAAGTATATAATATTAAAATTGTAAATAAAATAGATAAATAAGTAAATACTACATATTTTTATGTAAAAAAAGAATATAATTACAATATATTTTTTCAATATTAAAATCGAAGAATGAAAAATAATTAAATAAGTAGCTTTGGTAGTCATAGCAGTTTTAATGTACTTATTTATTTGAAATATTAAAATTACTTCTTTAGATATTTGCAAATAGAAATACAATTTAAGGAAACTCTTTCTGAAATGATCAATATTATACATACTAGTTTCGCTCCCCGTCATGAACGGAAATATATTGAGGTATCATCCTTTAATGGTGGTTATTTTTAGAACAATTATTATTGAAAGACATGAGAAAACACAAGTTTTAAAAAATATTTTTTATTCTATTTCTTTACGTTTATTCATATGAATAAAAATTTTCATTTATAAACTATGTACATATGTAAACATATATTTTTTTATTCATTTCTTATTTTAACAAAAAAGTTAACAAATTTTTTCAAAAACAAAATTAAAAAAGCACTTTATTCTTTTGTTATAAAAGTATTATAAATCTCAGTAATCATTAAAAATAATTAAATTTATCAAATTTATTTTATACACGTATGTATGTAGAAATAATTTTTCTTAAATAATAATTCTAACATTGCTTGTTTGTTTTAATCAATTATGTATTATAAATCGTGTCATAAGTAAGTTTTTTCTTTAACAAGAAAAGCTTTTTATTTTCGATTTTTTCCTTAAATTATTATGTGTATATGTATTTGTTTTGATGTACACGTAGGTATTTATATAGTTTATTTATTATTTGTTTATTTACAATTTTTATTTTTTGTTATTGTTTTTAGAGTATAATGTTTTATTTATCTGCTGAAATTGTTAAAGGAATTTCTTCTTTAATTGGTATTTTATTATCTGGTACGACTTCACGATAGAATACAAGTCTATAACCGATTGAAGTCAAAAAACCTGCCGACAATGGTCCGACCCAATATACCCAATGATTTTTAAAATGCCAGTTCCATAATGCTGGTCCAAATGAGCGCGCTGGATTCATACTTCCACCAGTAAATGGACCCTTTTGAAGATAAAAATAAAGATTTAATAAACTGATTTGTGAAAAAATAATTTAATGAAACTTACAGCTGCACAAGCTAAAGCAGCAACTGCTAAACCAAATCTAATTGTAACTGAATCATGATATTTGGCATTACGTGGATCCCATACACCACAGCAGACTAAAATTAAAACCATTGTTACCATAAATTCAATAGCAACAGCTTGTATAGGATGAATATCTGGTCTTATAACAGTAGTACACAATCCTGGTGATGTTGAATTATTTGGAAATATTGCTTCATCGGGTACAACTGCTTTTAATAAACCAAAACCAATAAATCCGCCCAACATTTGTGCAACAAAATAAACTAATGCCATTTGCCAAGTAACTAATTTATATCTGCATTTATATAAAATAGGAATTAAATAGGTAAGTAATTTATAATATTTAAATAAGTAATTTAAGTAAATAAGTAATTATTTGCGCCTGTTGGCGATATGCTTTATGCTTGATCTAAGCAATAGACGTCTGATATATAAAAATTATAAAACAATAAACAAATATTGTATATGTATATCAATTAAAATTTTCGGGCAATTTTAGATGATTTTACAATACAATAATGAAGTTTATTAAAAATTTTATAAGGCAGTATCTTGGAATTTCTAAAGATAAATTCTTTTTTAAAATTTTTCAAATATATTTACTTATTACTACTTGTTTAATATATATTTATGCAATTTGATTTGCAATTTTTATAATGATTATTTAAAATAGCTAGAGTTATTAATTATAATAAACGATAGAGTTATTAATTATTAAGTTTTGATTATTACAGTTTTTTTTTTTAATTTTATTAAAGTATATATATACATCCTTTTTGTATGTACATAGTATCTATTTTGTGTACTTACACAAAAGCAGCAGCTGTTACAGCAGGATTAATATGTGAACCCGAAACACATCCAAATATTTGAACTATAATCATAATTGTAAGACCAAAATTAATTACCATTTGTAAATGACTATTTTCGAGATTTCCATATTTTATACAACCCATGCAACCAAGAAATACTAAAAGTCCTGTGCCAATTAATTCTGCTAAAAAGCAGGAAATTTTATCTAATATCGCTGACTTCATAACTGAAAGTATAAAGTAAAATTAAAAGAAAAATATTTATTATTATTGCTTTATCATTTTTTTTTTATTTTATTTTCGCAATATGTAATATAAATAGGTTGTAGTAACGGAAGGATAATAATACAAATAATAATAATGATAGTTACAATAAATAGTAAATAGTTATTAATATCAAAATTTATACCTTTTATAATTTTATTATATTGTATGTGTAAACAAAGCATTATTTTACTCATCTTATAGTTATTTTTGTTTCAAGGTTTGATAAAGGTTATAAATAAAAAGAGTTCGTTTAAGGAAATTAATAATATAGCTTTACATATTTTTTTATGTAGAACATAAAATAATATAAAATGTGTGTAAAAAACCCTTTACGCAGTCTGCCATCGGAAGATAGTTTTCTTTTATTTTGAACATTTTAAATATTAATAGAAAATTGTCGTATATTAAGTATATTATGTATTAAAAACGTGCTATTGGCCATTGTCACAATGATATTTTAGAACTAATATCAAATGTGATCACTCAAGACTTATAAATTTTTACAATACCACTAAAATATTGGTAGTAATAAATTTTTGTTTTATTAATAAATTTACAATTACCATTGCTTTATTCTTTTATTTTATTGTTAATAGAAAAATAATTTAATAAAATTTTTAATTCGTAATTCGGAAAAATCAATAATTATAATTATTTTTTTAAGTTTTCAATATTTCTCATAAAAAATTATAAATATAAATGACCTTTAATTAAAACTTTAATATTATTTTAAAGGTCTGATTATATGATGTGACGAAAAATAATAATAATAAAATAAATCAAAAAAATAATTTTACTAAAGTAATAAATAAAATATAATAATGTTATTATAGTAGAGTAGGTATTATATTTTTAATATAGGTATCATATTACTATATAATATCACCACTATTTACTATAGGGTACATATATGTAAGTGATATGTATGTACAGATATTAATTATTATATTACCATTATTAATGTGAAATATTCAACATTTTTGCTACTTATTTATACTTTATTTATTATTTATACTTAAGCTTCATCATTTCGTAATAAATATTTAAGCTAATCAAAAAATAATTCATTCTATCTTCATTCTTAATTTATTTCACAAAGTATTTTATTAATATAAAGGTAAAGTTAAGATAAACAGGAAAATTTATTTCAAATATTGTACCGAGTGTTTCACTTTTTGTATTTTAATTAGAATTTAGAATACTATGAAAATTCTTATTAAGATTAATTTTAGAGTAAAACATTAGGAATTAAATAATTTTTTGCAATAATGAAACTAAAATTGGAAACAAATTTTTTTTCAAAAAATTTAAATTTATTTGAGTATATTATAAAAAGTATTGAAATACTTTTATTATAAAATGTATTTTTTTTCCTTTTCCACTCCTAGAAGGAGTATAGGGCTAGTGCATGACATCATAGACTATTTTCATGTCCCAGTTTCATTGCGTCATAGAGTTTTTAACCAGGTAGGTGGTGACTAGCCTGCCGTAGTTTTTTTTCTTTATATTAAATATTTAAGCTTATTAATATTTATTGTTTTTTTTTCTTGGTTTTCAATACCGAATTAATTATGAATATATGAAAATTACTTTTAAATTACTTGAATATACTCATTTGTTATTTCATAAGTATTGTACATTAAAAAACTATAATATTGAATAGTGAATAGGTTTGAACCCGAGACCCTTCGGTTAAAGGAGCCATAACCACTACACTAATGGTCAGGTATAAATGTATGCTTGCTAATTATTTAGCTTAATTTTATTTTTTGAATTTTTATATTAAATTCTTGGGATTACATCTAATAGTATTTATAATAGAAGACAATTTTAAAATCCTTCATCTTTTCTCTTCACAATAATCACCTAATTTCTGAGAAATATTTATCATCTTCCATATATATGTATTGAATATGAGTTTCAGTCAGAAAAATTTTAATATAATATAATTACATTGTATAATACATATTATACTGGAAAGCAGAGTATAATTCATATTTTCATATTATTTAAATAAAAAAGAACACGTGCTGTAAATATTTTCTATATTTTGTTATGAAAAAAAATAATATTAACAAATTTCAAACACAAAATAAAATCTAAGCTAAACATGCTATGATAACAAAAGATAATAACCGTAGAATATATTATGTACTATAACTGATATACCGTGGAAGCCTTCAAAATAACGTTTTTATTGTTGCACATTTCGAAAAAAAAAATTCTTGATTTGACATCAAGGTTTAAAAATATACATAACAAAATTTGTAAAATATTTATAACAGAAATGTAAGCATATATATTCACAATCACATATATGTATGTATATCAAACTTTATCAGTTTAGCCATGTGTTGTACTCTTTATTCCATTCAATGGAAAAATAAGAAAATAAATTTAAATGTAGTAAATAATAGTTATGTATATGTACCTAATTAATTTGTGTTTTATTTAATAAAACTGTTATACAATATTATAATATATTTTGACAAAATTTTATCAGTAGCTTGGAATTATATTATTATAAATAAAATATTTATATAGTATATTTTATTGCTTATAAAATATATATTTATATATACATATACCAAATTTAATTCTTTTAGTTACTGACTTTAATCATTTTATTCATAGTTAAACAATAAAATGTGATTAATATATTATGAGGTATAAATCAAATCATAGTTATATATATTTTTAAAATTACATTGTTTTTGTTAATATTTGTTATATATAAATATAATTATGTAGAAAATGCATTTTGTTATTGATATGCATATAAAATGCGTTTTTGTATAATCATAGGTGCATATTTCATAATTATAGCAATAATAAATATGACAGTTATTGAATTAAAATTATAGACTTTTATTTATATATTATTTTTATAACATAAAATTGTTGGTATAATATAAGTATATTATATAATAACATAAGTATATGCACATTTCACCGTTCTCTAATTTTCAAAACCATAGTTCTTAAATATACAAAATAATTTAAGTATAAGGATTGTACTCAACAATTTCTACTTATGTTTGTTCATATTATTATGTATAAATATAAGCTTGGTTTTATATAAATGTAGATGTATGTATGTACATGATTACAAATAAAAAAAATTCAAGTTAATAATTTTAAAGCATATTATTAAAATTTCTGATTTAATTTTAGAATACCCAATTAGAATAACTATAGATAATAATTTAAGGCAGCTTATAAGACCTTAGACCAAATTTTTTTTGAAAAAATTTCATTGAAAAAATTAAGGTAAATGATAAAATTACTCAAATAATTTAAATAGGGACATAAAAAAAAAGTATTAAAAATTTTGTACTTTAAATAATTAAAAATTTCAAAATTGATAAAAAAAAAAATTGAAAATATCAAAATTTATTCATCATTAATTTTAAATAATCAAGATTAGATTGACATTAACGATAAGGGGGGAATTGATTGAAAAAAAATAAAAACAATGAAAAATTATTATATCTGATTTTCTTAAATAAATTAAAATTACAGTCGGGCTCCGGCTTACGAGATTTTTTTTAACGACTTTTTTTTCTTATTTCGATAAATTACTAAGCTTCGATGAATTATTGTGAAATTATTATGATATTTTGTAATCGATGAATTATTTTTTTTTTTAATGTGCGATATAGAAAAGCGCAAATGTAATTTTTTGAAAAAATAAAATATTGATGACAATTTTAATTTATCATCATGTTCTATATGTAATTGAATTTTTTTATTCATATTTTTCGTTTTTTACGTTTTACGACTCGAAATTTTGCAACGCATATAGGACGTAAACTGACGACCTACTGTATTAAATTTATTTACAAATTAAATAATTTATTAATTAATATTTAGATATTTTATATTATTTACTAATTCATAAACAGCTTTAGAATAATTTTGGTATTAAAGAATATTTTACTTAAAATTCATAAGATTGTAAACCGTTTTGTAAACAATTTTTAAATTTTTTCTTTTTAATTTTTGATAAGAATTTAATCAAATTAAAATTTTTTTTTTATTAACAATTTGCGTGTCACACTCTTTTTCTTTTATTACTAGATGTAGTTCTTTAATTTTACTTATATTTTTATTATCAGAAATAATATATGAATGTGTGCATATACATATTATGTTCATATTTGTATGTATATGTAATAATATCAAAGTTCAATATTTTTAATTTTTTAAAAAATTTTTTTTTAAAAGTATATAGTAGATACTTTAATCAGGCATTGATTTGAATTGTATTAAAATATATTTAAATAATATTATAAAAAATTTTACATGAAAAACTTGCAACAATACTTTTGTACCACAAAAATGTTGTTGTAGTAATCACATACATTGTATGTACACAATATATATGTATAACCATTTCCATAGAAGTCTTCTTCTTCTTTTTACTTTTTAATATATAGCTTAATTTTCATTTCCACAATATAAGTAGATATTTTTTTTATAAATTTCATTGGCGTATCCTAAAATAAAAGAGTGCGAACAGTTCAAAACTTAAGAAATAAATGGTAAGAATATAACAATAATAAAATTTGTCTGGTTTCAGTAATTAAAAGATTTTGAGGCGAACTTAGGCCTCAAAAAATTTTGGAATAAAAGAAAGATTAAAAGAATAGAAATTTTATAAATAAAAATTTTGTTCTTTCGAAAAAGGCGGAAGTCTGAAAATGTTGAATTTGCCGAAATTTTTCATTATTTTCTTGATATGCAACACCAATAAAAAATTTCTAAAGTAGTTTCAAAAAATACAAAAATTTCAGCTCTTTAAAAAGAAGACCAGCTATCCTTCTAATCATATAGTGAATTTTTCACAATATTATTTTTAATATTGTGAATTTTAATGGTATGTGAGTTTCTTTGATCTTAAAGAATTTCTTTAATTCTATAACTACATACTATAACACAATTAGTTACTTAATCTCAG